ACTGATAAAGGGTATGTACAAAAAACATAGCTATCAGCGTAGCTAGTAGTGAACGAAAGGTTTCCTCTCTTGATCAGGAATAAGGCAAGGATGTCTGCTCTCTGTTCAACATTGTGGGGGAGGTTATAGCCAGGGAAATCAGGCAGGAAAAAGAAGAAAGGCATCCAGATTAGAAAGGGAAAAATGAAACTGTCCCTATTTGCAGTTGACACACTGTTTCTCTTCCTCTATATAATAGAAAATACTAAGGAATCCACAAAAAACTTACAGCACTAAAATGAATTTAGCAATGCTGCAGGGTACAAGTTCAGTACATAAACCATATTTCTATATACTAGCAATAAACAATCTGAAAATTAAATTAAGAGAAGAATTGGGCCGGCCAGGTGGTTTGGTCGTTAGGTCAGCTGGATCCCACATGGCTGACTGCATGGTTCAAGTCCTAGACCTGGCGGCCTGAAAAACGCTCCCCGTACCTGTGCATGTGTGTCCAAAGTCCCTAGATGTCCAAAATCTCGAGTGGAGGAGAGGAGAAAGGATTGCTACGTGGTTACAGAGTCTCACCTGGAGCTGCGATTTCTTTCTCTCTCACTTTCCTTCTCTGTGAGTACACACGCCTTATAGCAAACTGAAAAGAAAATAATTTACAATAGCATGAACAAGTCTAAGATACTTAGGAATAAATTTAACCCAAAAATGGAAGACTTACAAAGAAACTATAAAACATCATTGAAGAAATTAAAAAAGTTACAAGTAAGTGGAAAGATGTTCTGTGTTCATGAATTAGAACACGCAATGTTGTCAAGGTGGCAGTACTACCTAGTAGTACTACTGCAGATTTCCACCGCAGATTCAGCGCAGTCCTTATCAAGACTCTAGCTGGCTATTCTGCAGAAATTGACCTGCTCTCCATGCTCATGGAAATGAAAGGACCCAGAGAGCTACAGCAGTCTTGAAAATGAACAAAGTTTGGAGGACTCACCCTTCCTGATTTCAAAACGTATTACAATCCCACAGTAATACATGCACTGCTGTATAAGACGTATGGCACATAATGATAGACACTTAGGTTGTTTGAATAAAATTGAGAGTCCAGAAATAAACCCTTACATTTTTGGCCAGTTGATTTTCAACAAGGCTGCTAAGACAATTTAGTGGGAGAAAGTATTGTCTCTTCAGTAAGTGTCTCTGGGACAACTGGAGATGCATATGTACGAGAACGAATTTAGACTCACTACATCATACTATACACAGAAATGAACTAAATGGGTCAGAGATGTAAATGTAAGCTAAAATAATAACTCTTAGAAGAAAATATAGGCATACTTCCTTGTGATTGGGCTAAGTAATACTATATGTGTGTGTGTGTGTGTGTGTGTGTGTGTGTGTATTTTTTTAGGTTTTTGCCATAAGGCGTTTGTACTCAATGGAGAGAGAGTGAAAGTGAGAAATCACCTGCGGAGGGGATGATCACACTGTAACCCTCTCTCCTCCACTCTTCCCCTGGGACTTAGGCATGCACAAGTGCCTGGTGTGATTCTCAAGCCACGGACCACAGTCAGCCATGTGGGAGGCCAGTACACCAACCACCACACCGTCTACTGGCCCTGATTTTTTGTTTTAAATAATCTTTTTCTGGGACCAGCGGATGGCATAATGGTTATGTTGCTGGACTCATGGTCAACTGCAGTTTGAGTCCCAGAATCGGTGACTTGAGACTCATGCTCAGGGCATGTGTGTGAGTGCCCAAAATCCTGAGAGGAGAATGTACGAGAAGGGATTGCAGCGTGGTTATACCCACTGGAGGGTGATTTTTCACATTCTCTCTCTAAGTTCTTTCTGGTAAGCACTTGGACCCTATAGCAAAAACCTCTCTTAAAAAATTTCTTTTTGTTTTTATTCGTGGTAGAGTATGTGTGTATGCATGTGTGTATGCATGTGTGCGTTTATGAGTGGGAGAAGGGAGCATTTTCTGGAGGTTCTGGTCACACTGTCCTCCAGCCTGTCAGATGTTGGGCACTCGTGTACCTACTGTGCTTCAAGCTGACCAGGTTGGGGATTTGAACCATGGAGGATCAGCTTTTCTTGAGTAGTGCATTACCATGCGGCACTGAACTGGCCCTTGCAATGGTTTCTTAGATGCAATACCAAAATGTAAGCAATCAGAGAAAAGACAGACTTCATCAAAATGTAACAATAAAATGACAACCTGGTTTTAAAACGGGCAGAGGATTGGGGCCAGCAGATGGCATGGTGGTTAGGGCGCTGGACTCCCATGTGACTACTTGGTCCTGCACCAAGTAGATTGAAACCCATGCTGGGCATGCCCAAAATCCTGAGAGGAGAATGAAGGAGAAGGGATTGTGGGGCGGCCATCCCCTCTGAAGGGTGTTTTCTCACTTCCCCTCTCTCTATGTCTCTCTCTGGTGTGTACCCTGTGACAGAAACCTTACAAAAAAAAAGAAAAGAAAAGAAAACAATGATAGGCAAAGAATTTTAATGAATACTTCTCCAGAGTTTATACCAATGGTCAATAAACATATGAAAAGATTCTTGGGACCAGCAGTTAGTGTAATGGCTATGTCGCCGAACTCCCGTGTAGTCGATCATGGTTCAAGTCCTAGACCTGGTGGCTTAAATTCAACCAGGTGTATGTGCGTGCGTGCCCAAGATCCTGAGAGGAGAATGGAGGAGAAGGGATTGTGGCATGGCCATCCCCCCGGAGGGTGATTTCTCGCTTTCTATCTCTCTGTCTCTGTCTTTCTGGTGAGTGCATGCGCCCTATAGCAAAAATCTTATTAAAAAATATGAGAAGATTCTCAATATTATTAGTCATAAGGGAAGTATTAATCAAAACCTCAGTGAGTTACCACTTCTACCTGTTGGTATAACAGGAATAAAAAAGATGGGCAGTAGTAAGTGCTGACAAGGAGTAGAGTATCTGGAACCTTCATATGTCGGCATGAGTGTAAAATGGTGCAGCTGCTTTGGAAAACAGTTAAGCATAGAGTTACCTTGATCCACCAGATCCCCTCCGAGGGGTCCATCCAAGAAAATGGAGAGTACACATCAACACAAAACTTGTACGTGAATATTCATAGCAGTATTGTAATAGTCGAAAAGAGGGAACAGCCTAACTGTCCACTACCTGATAAGTGAGTAAACAGAATGTTGCATATTCATACAACAGAATGTTATTTAGTCATAAAAATGAGTAAAGTACAGCATGGATGAACCACGGAAGTAGGTGGAAAAAGCCAGACACAAAAGACTGCATATTATTTATTTATTTATTTATTTATTGGGAGAGATTTTCACTGTAGGGCGCGTGCGCTCACCAGACAGACAGAGAGAGACATAGAGACAGAAAGCGAGAAATCACCCCCCAGGGGGGATGGTCACGCCGCAATCCCTTCTCCTCCATTCTCCTCTCGGGATCTTGGGCATGCACGCACATGCGCCCGGCGTGAGTTTTAAGCCACCGGGTCCTGGACACGAACCGTGTCGACTACGTGGGAGTCCAGCGACATAGCCATTACGCTAACTGCTGGTTCCCAAGACTGCATATTATTGATACACGACTTCTCTTTCTTGAAATGTCCAGAATAGGCAAACTTACAGAGACAAAAAAGAAAGTAGTAGTTGCCTCGAGCTGCGTAACTGGTGATAGGGGAGGGAGGTGTCGGTTGCATCGAATCTGTGAAATGGTCAATCTTAGGTAAACAAACTATTTCAATTTCAAAACAAGGAGGGGGACCAGCAGTTGGCGTATTGGCTATGTTGCTGGACTCCCATGTAGTCGACCGCGGCTCAAGTCCTGTACCTGGTGACTTAAAATCATGCCAGGCATGTTTGCGTGCGTGCCCAAGATCCCGAGAGGAGAATTGAGGAGAAAGGATTGTGGCGTGGCCATCCTCCCTGGGGGATGATTTCTTGCTTTTTATCTCTCTGTCTCTCTCTGTCTGTCTGGCGAGCGCATGTGCCCTGTAGCAAAAAACCTCTCCAAAAAATAAAAATAAAAAAAAAATAAAAACGAGGAACATTAAATGCTCTTACAGTATAATATACTGAACAGCCCAATAAAAATGAACAGAAGAGGGACCAGCAGTTGGTATAATGGCTATGTAGCTCGACTCCCATGTAGATGACCATGGTTCAAGTCCCAGACCCAGTGGCTTAAACTCACGTCGGGGACGTGTGTGTTCATGCCCAAGATCCTGAGAGGAGAATGGAGGAGAAGGGATTGCAGCGTGGCCATCCCCCCTGCGGAGTGATTTCTGGCTTTCTGTCTCTTTGCCTCTCTGTGTTTCTGGTGAGCACATACACTGCAGCAAAAAACCTCTCAAAAAAAAAAAAAAAAAAAGAATTGGGCAAAAGATACCAAATGACATTTCATAACCATATACCTAATAGTGAACATCTGAGGGCTAAATTATATGTCAGATATTAAGTACTTTACATGTTTTTAATCTTTAAAACCAACCTTGAGGTAGGTACATTTTAGAGCTTTAGAGAGAAAACTTAACTCACCTAGACATTGGAGAACTGCTGGGGTATTGCTGGTAAGAAATCTAATATCCCAGTTAACGAGCGCTGGACTGGGGTTCAAACTTAGAAACTGTTCTTATTTGCTGTACCACTACATACTGTTTGTTTTATTTTGTTTTTGTTTTTGCTATGGGGTGCATGTGCTTGCCAGAAAAAGAGAAGAAGTATGAAATCACCCCCTCAGGGGGTTGGCCATGCAACCCCTTCTGCTTCATTTTCCTCTTGGGATTTTGGGCATATGCACACATATGTCTGGCGTGATTTTCAAGTTGTCGGGTCTGGGACTTTAATGGCTGTTGGTCACATGGGAGTCCAGCACCTTAACCACAACACTACCTCCTGGCCCCGTACATGCTGTTTTAAACCCATACCATTGTTACACAGGTGTTATTGTAGACACGTCCCTTCACAGGGCCAGCTAACCACTTACCCCGTATTTTTCCCCTTTCTAGATCCATTGATGAGATGAAACGGTTGGAGGAAATGACAGATGTGTTTCAGAACTCTGGGGTCGAGTGCCACCCTCCGGAACCAAAATCCCAAATAGAAGGGAATGAAGATTCAGAGGGCAAAGAGCAGCCGTGGGAAATGGTGATGGATAAGAAACACTTCAAGCTGTGGCGGCGCCCAATCACCGGCACCCACCTTTACCAGTACCGAGGTGAACCCCGTGCCCAGTGTGTCCTGCGCTTGCCCCGGCGTGCAGGGCCTCTGTTCTGCGGACTCCGTAACTGTTGGGATTGTTTCTCAGAAAACGCTCTGTTCTCTCTTCTCCCAGATGACGCGTAGCTCTCCGTCTTCCTTGCACAGGCTGCCTTTATCTTTCTTTGCTGCTCCAGTCTGACATTCGCTTCTGAGTCTCTCTTTTTTTTAAAGTTCATTTCATGTGTGAAGCAAGAGAGACAGAGGGAGAGGGGTTCAGCACCCCGAACAGGATCTCGTTGCTGCAGTTCATCCCCAGTTTTAGCTTCCCCAGTCATGGGCACACACGTGCCCGGTGTATTCAAGGAGGGCTTTAGACTCCAACCTGGAGCCTGGTTAGCCTCACAGACAGCCGCGGTTTCCAGCTGCTCCAACGTCCAGTCCCTGAAGCGGCTGTTAAGATCTATCAGTACTCTCGGGGTCAGCAGGTGGCGTGGTGGTTGGGGTGCTAGACTCCCACATGGCAAACTGTGGTTTGAGTCCCACACCTGGTGGCTTGCTTTCTCTTCTCCCTTTTTCTCTCTGTGTCTCTCTTTGGTCAGATAGAAGATTAACAATAAATAAATGAAATTGAATAAATAATTCTTAAAAGGAAAAAAAAGATCTATCAGTACTCTAGAATTGAAATGCCGCTAGAGGATAGGAATAGGGTGAGTGACAGGAGTGTGGCAAACATTCTTTATTTTGTCTTGTCATTCTAGTTTTTGGAACCTACACAGATGTGACACCCCGGCAGTTCTTCAATGTTCAGGTGAGTTCATTTTTCCCTTCAGATTTGGAGCCTCTGGCAATCCAGTGCACTCCTGTCTACACAAATAGTTTCTCTGGCTTGGAAGGTACTGGCTGTGACACTCATCTGACTCCACCTCTCATGAGATGTCGTGTAGCATGTGGGATTTTAACCAACCTGTCGTGTTCTGTCCTGTAGGGTGGGGTCCATTCTGTGTCTCAGGACTGCTGAGAGCATCCAATAGAGGAATGAATGATTTGATTGCCTCTGTGTGTGTATTTTAAAATCTCACCAGAGGGCATGTGTGCTGTCAGAGAAAGGGAGGGAAAGTGACAAAGCACCCCTCATGGGGAATGGTCGCGCTGCAGACCCTTCTCCATCTTTCCCTCCTTTCAGGATTTTGGGCATGCACACACATGTGCCTGTCTTATTTCTCTCAAGCCACATCAGGTTTGAACTCAAAGCACACTGTTAGCGATGGGAGATCTAACTTCTTTTACCACCATGCCACAGGCTGGCCCCATGTATTTATTTTTATTGCCAAAAAGAGGAAGGGAGAAAATAGCCCTCAATGGGGCGTGGCCATGCCCCAGTCCCTTCTCTTCTACTTCTCCGTACTGTCAGAATTTGGGGCACATACACATATGCACCCTGTATGTTTTTAAGCCTCCAGGGCCAGGATTCAGACTGCACTCGGCCATGTGGGACCTGGCTTCCTTGACCACCATGCTATGGGCCTGTCCGTACTTTAAATATATTTTATAAAGCCTTTTTGTGGTTTGTTTTATTTATTTCTTTACTTACCTATTTACAATAGGGAGGTAAGTTACATACATCACTGTCCTTTATTCATAAATCTTTTATTGTTTATTTCCTGAAACTAGACATATACTATGGTAACGAATTATGGTGCCATGACCAAAGCCAGTAATTTACTGTGGCTGGAATGCTTCCATGTAGTCTTCTGTGTTTGTATTCCAGTTTTATCATCTGACCCAACAATGCCCTTTGGAACATTTGCCTGTTAGCACAGATCCAGTCATGATCATGTTTAGTTGCCTCTTTAATCTCTTTTTTTTTTTTGGAGAGATTTTCACTGTAGGGCGCGTGCGCTCGCCAGACAGACAGAGAGAGACATAGAGACAGAAAACGAGAAATCACCCCCTGGGGGCATGGTCACACCGCAATCCCTTCTCCTCCATTCTCCTCTCGGGATCCTGGGCACGCACGCACACGCGCCCGGCGTGAGTTTTAAGCCACCGGATCCGGGACACGAACCGTGGTCGACTACGTGGGAGTCCAGCGACATAGCCATTACGCTAACTGCTGGTTCCCCTCTTTAATCTCTTTTAACCTGGAATGTTTCCATATTGAAGGTATTTATTTAATAACAGTATTTGTTCAAGGACTACTTCCCTTTGATAAAGGGAAGATGAAAAAGGGCGGTGGTGGGACCAGCAGTTGGCATAATGGCTATGTCGCTGGACTCCCATGTAGTTGACCGCGGTTCGCGTCCCAGATCCGGTGGCTTAAACTCATGCCAGGTGTGTGTGCGTGTGTGCCCAAGATCCCAAGAGAAGAATGGAGGAGAAGGGATTGCAGCGTGGTCATTCCCTGTGGGGGGTGATTCCTCGCTTTCTGTCTTTCTGGCAAGCACACATGTCCTATAGCAAAAGCCTCTCCCCACCCCCCCAAAAAAAAGAAAGAAAGAAAAAAGGTGGCATCATCCAGAGTTCCATGATTTTTTTTTTTTTTTTAACTTCCTAGATTTCTCATTTGTTTTGCCAGGCTTTTGCCAACTAGTTTGTTGATTATAGTATTAGTAACATGTAGGTTTGAGTCTTGAACTTGGTGGCTTGAAAATCACACTGGGCATGTGTGCTTGCTTGCATGTCCCAAATCCCAAAGAGAATGGGGGACAGAGAATTGTGGCGTGGCCATCTTCCTGGGGGCTGATTTCTCATTGTCCTCATTGTCTCTCTTGGTGAGTGTACGTACCCTGTGGAGAAAACCTAAAAAACAGAAACAGAAAAACTTCTTAACATTATCTCACTCATTTTGTGTTTTCCAAAGTGTGTCTATTTTTTTTTTGCCCTCTTTTTTTGGATGTAAGGTGCACTTTGAATGGTATTGACTTAATGAAGGGATTTTACAGAACTGTTCTGTGGTAGAACAGCCATGACTCATACTCAGGCACTGTTTATTGGGTCAGGTCACCGTTCTTCAGTAATGAGGTCCTCGGATCAGAGGCCCCTGCAGCTGTGGAAGTCTTCTGCATTTTCGTTTTGGATCTTCTGGGGTATTCATGGTCTTTACTTTTTCTATAGCTGGACACAGAATATAGGAAAAAATGGGATGCCCTGGTGATCAAGCTGGAGGTGATCGAGAGGGATGTGATTAGCGGCTCGGAGGTTCTTCACTGGGTCACCCATTTTCCGGTGAGTATTTCTCCTGTAGTTTACTTCTGTCGGGACCGCGTGACTCAGAACACTGACCCTGCCCTCCATTCCTCTAGTATCCGATGTACTCGCGGGATTATGTGTATGTCCGGCGGTACAGCGTGGATCAGGAAAACAACGTGATGGTGTTGGTGTCACGGTATGTACGGCTGTCAGTGGCTCTGCCGAGTCCCCTCCCCATCCCTGGCTGAGTCTGCATGTTTGCACTGTCCCAGCGAGTCCCCCAAAGGCTACCTCACTCACCCCAGCTAGAACACAAGTAGGCTGTGGTTGTCTGGGAAGATTGAAGGGATACAAACTTTTAGTCAGTCTCTTTGAGTTCCTTAAAGTTGGCAATTTAAAATAGAAGTGCTGTTGTCTTCAGCATAAGCCTAATGAGCCATAAATTACCAAGGAAATTCTCTTCATTTTTTAGAACTTAGTTTGTATTCATTCATTCATTGTCCTCATTGTCTCTCTTAGTGACTCCCTGTTTTGTTCATTTTAAAAACCAGAGGGCCAGCAGGTAGCATGGTGACTAGGCACCTGGATTGGACGTGGCTGACTGCACATTCTGAGTCCTGGACTCAGCAACTCGAGAAACACAGGGCGCATGTGTGTGCACGCCTAGCATCCTGAGAAGGGAGTGGAGGATAAGGGGTTGCTATGTGGTCATACCCCCAGGGGCTGATTTCTCACTGTCTTCCTCTCTTTCTCTCTCTCTCCATCTCTGGTGAACACATGTACCCCATAGCAAATTAAAAAAAATAGAAAAATAAAAACTAGAGCCAGCATTTGGCCTTCCCCTTAACCCCAGCCCCCCGTTATTTTGTGTATAGGTGTTACTAAGAGTTTGTTTCGCCTTTTCTTTTCAGTGCTGTGGAGCACCCCAGCGTGCCAGAATCTCCGGAATTCGTTAGGGTCAGATCATATGAATCCCAAATGGTTATCCGTCCCCACAAGTCATTTGATGAGGTGAGTTTTAAATTGTTTAAAAGGTTATGTGGAGTGGTAGTTAAGACAGCTGGATCCCACATGACTGCATGGTTTGAGTCCTGTATCCGGTGGCTTAAAAAATATGTCAGGTCGGGACCAGCAGTTGGTGTAATGGCTATGTTGCTGGACTCCCATGTAGTTGACCGTGGTTCAAGTCTCTGAGCCGGTGGCTTAAACTCACACCAGGCGCGTGTGCATGCATACCCAAGATCCCGAGAAGAGAAGAGATTGTAGTGTGGCCATCCCCCCGATTTCTCACTTTCTATCTCTCTGTCTTTCTGGCTAGTGCACGTACCCTATAGCAAAAACCTCTCAAAAAAATAAATAAATAAATAAATAAAGAAGAAAAATATGCCAGGTGTGTATGTGTGCGTGTGCCTAAAATCTCACAAGGTGGGAGAAATGGCGTAGAGGGGATTATGATGTGACCATATGGGGTGTGCCTTTTCACTTTCTTTCTCTCAGTCTCTCTTGTGAGCATGCTTGCCTTCTGGGAACTTTTTTTTTAAATGTAATGTGGGACTAACAGTTGACGTAATGGCTATGTCACTGGATTCCCATGTAGTCGACCGCAGATCGAGTCCTGGATCCAGTGACTTGAACTCACACCAGGCATGTGTGTGTTCCCACAATCCTGAAGAGGAGAATGGAGGAGAAGGGATTGTGGTGTGGCCATCCCTGTTGGGGGTGGTTTCTCGCTTTCTGTCTTTCCGTCTCTCTCTGTCTTTCTGGCGAGTGCATGTGCCCTGTGGCAAAAACCTCTCCAAAAAATAGGTAATGTGTAGTGAGGCTTGGGGATTTTTCTCAAGGGATGCCTTTTATCTGGATAGGGGAGGGGTGAGTTGTTATAGGGCAGTGGTTCTCAAACTTATCACTTGTTAGAATCTGTTGGAGCTTGTGAAAATATATTGCCAGGCTCTGCTTCATTGTATGAATCAGCAGGTCTAGGGTGTGGCCTCGTAATTTATTTTTATTTTCCTTTTTTAAAGGTTTTGCCATATGGCACGTGCACTCACTTGAGAGAGATAGAGGGAGACAGTGAGAGGGAAAGTGAAAAATCACTGCTCCCTCCTCCGGGGGTTGGCCATGCCACAATCACTTCTCCAGTCTCTTCCTGGGATTTTGGGCATACATACATGTGTACCTGGCATGAACTCCTGCCACCAGGTCTGGAACTTAATCATGATTGGTCAAGTGTGAGTCCAGTGCCTTAACCACCATGCCACCTGCTGGCCCTGTAATTTACATTTTTAAGGAGTTCTCAGGTAGACTGATGCGTGTCTGGGAACCTTGTTTGGGAACCCCAGCTAAGGGTCGTTTCACCCAGAAGCTCCCCAGGACAAAGTAGTGGCGATCCATTTGCTCGCTTTTCCTCGAAGACAGCTCTGAGAAGATAGTAGCTGGTGTTGGCCACATTCTTCAGGAACGGGAGCAAATATTTTCCTCTGCCAGTATTTGACCGCCTTGGGCAGAGCCCTGTTAACCATTCTGGATTCCTGTGTCCTTATCTGTAAAGTGTGTGGGGAGGGGGTGGACTAATGCTCTCTGCCTTCTTTACAACTCTGTGACTTTTCTTTGAAAAGACTCTTTAGTTTAAGGGGGCACTTTGAGGGACCAGCAGTTGGCATAATGGCTATGTTGCTGGACTCCCATGTAGTTGACTGCAGTTCGAGTCCCAGACCTGGTGTCTTAAACTCACGCTGGGAGCATGTGCATCCGTGCCCAAGATCCTAAGAAGAGAGTAGAGGAGAAGGAATTGCAGCGTGGCCATCCCCCGGGGGGGTGATTTCTTGCTTTTTGGCTCTGTTTCTCTCTTTCTGGCAAGCGTACACATTCTATAGCAAAAACAAACAAACAAACAAACAAACAAAAAACCTCTAAGGGGGCACTTTGTTTTTATTTTAAGTAAATCTTAATTCAATGTATGTGTCACTGTGTTTGCTCTTTTAGTTCTTTTTCACTCTATAGGTGGCCGTGTTTCTCTGTCAGGTTTCTTTTAGAGCTATGTGGACTGTTCTTTAGTGTGGTTTTCTTGGTCTCCTCAAGTCGCTTTGCGTATTCCATCCGAAGTAGCACTTTCACCGTGACCGAGGTAGGCTCACCTCAGTCAGGGTAGTGCTCTGACTTTCCTTTGTTTTCTAGAGTAGTATTTTTCAAGCCATTACTACTACCTACTAGTGGAAGACAAAATTAATTGAGGGGATTATGATACATTTTCTTAAAAAAAAAAAAGAATAAATAGAAACTGAATGTAAGCTTATTTTTTTTTCTTCCCAGACTTTTGCTATGGGGCACAAATGCTCATTGAGAGAGAGAGAGAGAAAGTGAGAAATCATTCCTGGGAGCGATGGATGGCCAGG